CACCAGTTTGCCGCCAGTGACGCATATCGATCCCGTCGGAAGTGAATAACAATATGTAATAATCACATTCCGGGCAAACGGTTACGGACAACGGATTGCAGCCGGCAAATGTTACTGCGGTCATTTCGCGCCGATTGAACGCACGTCATCATATGGTACACAGATAACAGTACAATGTTGTCGTTGCAAATTGAACGCGTGATAACAATACGCCTAGGTACCGTGGTAAGGACCAAGGATGAAGACTTAATTCATCCTTGTGTCCGGGAACCGTATAAATGTATTGACTTTGATATTTGGAGAAGGCCTTTAATTACCACTTGGACTTTGGATGGATCATCCACCAAGATATCATATTTTCAAAGGTTCAAATTATCCAGGTATATTTTTGACCATATTGTAGACGTTATAATACAAGAGAAATTTGTTTGATTCGAATTTGTTTTTGCTGAAATTAAACGTAATATTTAGCAATCACCCCTAGCCGGTATTTCTCAGTTCACGACCATGACTATACATAAAACAACATTGATTCATTAGACTAGTTTTTCTATAAGCTGGAATTTTTTAGAAGTAATTTTTTATCAAAACGTTTAATTTTTCCTTGTTCATGTATAAAATATGTGTTCATGATTCAACACAGCAGCACGAATTGTATAATCTTTAGTATTAATAACTTATTTTTAAAATATTATAAAATAATTTAGTTTTTCTAAAAATAATCGGTGGCTCATAATTATCATATGCACCTATCTACAGTAAAATGTTTATAGTATCCACCATAATTTTTGTCTACTAAATATTTTAATCATCTGTTTGATTAGTTTAATTATTTTTTACTGCTATTTTATCGAAGGTGTTATTTTTGCTAGATTAAAACAAAATACCGGATTATACCTTATGACATATCGTAAACATACCTATGCTAAAATGTGTATTCACCAAATCTTACCAACAAAATACCGTTCCATCGTCAGCGGCCGACAGCTCCTCTTTCGTTTCCAAGGTGGTAAGACCAGTCCAAGTTGACTTACGCCTTAGGCTCACGGTATTTTGACTCAAAACCGCGATTTGGTGTAGCAACAAGCATCCGACCTGATACTATGGACGTTCCCAGGGGGGGACAAGACAGGACACTTGCCCCTCCTAGAATTTTAAATTTGTTTTCTAAAGCATTATCTGTAACGCGCCAATTTAGTAAATATAGCTTTAAAATAACATGAATTATCTATAGAAGCATCTATCTAATCTTTAATAATGATTGGATTATTTTTTCTTATCGTATATCTTATATTTGAGAAAAAATAATAATGTAAGTATGAAATGAATAATGCCAAATGAACGACACTACACATATAACACTTAACGTATATTTTTATTAAATCGGTTGCGCCGATCTCTGTTTTTAAAGCAATATCGTCCCTGCGCGCAAGCTTATAATGCGCTCACACGGCGTGTACACTATTATTATATACATACGTGATATTATACATTTCGTCGATACTCGCCATCTGTCACCGGTGGTCCGCCGCGAAAAATGTGTGCCGCGCGAACAATGAGGGCGAGAACGCGTGCAGGATGCATTTTTCGTCGGCGGACCGCATAATAGTCGGTACACGCGGCGAAAAAAGAAGGGAAGAAAAAGAAAAAATAATAGAAAAAACAGTGAAACGGTTCGTCCTCGTGTGCGCAAACGGCGGTTTCGCCAGGTGCAATAATGATCGACTGCGCGGGGACCGCCGTCGATGTATAAAATAATAATAAAATACCGGCCAGATGGGCCATTTGTGTTGTTATTATTATTATTACAACTATTACGGGATCGAAATGTTTTGCACCAGACACGAGACAAACAAAAAATAAGATCGCCTCGAAAATTACTACTACTACTACTACCAGTACTTCTACTGCTATTACTACACTTTATGTGTAACGCGCACAAGATAAACACCTGGACCTAGTCTGACGTCTGCGAGACTTAAATGCATTACACAGGCGCGCACACACACATACATGTATACAGTGCAGTGGGTAATATTATAATGTGTACACTCGTTGGATTTTGCCATTACGGTGCCCTTTTCCGCCACATCGGTGCTCACCGGTCGCCGCCACCTACCCCCTGCACGAGTGCGCGTACACCTATTATATTTTATAGAGGTGTAAACTGTACGGATACGGCGTAGGTATTTACCTTGGTTTACCGTTGTATTTCGGCACCCGCCGAAAATAAAAGGAAAAGTTTCTGAGGGGTGAAAACGAAAACCGAAACACGTGTCGTCATCTCATCCGAGTACGCCAAATTGCACATTTCAAAAACAGGATGTATGTACCTACACACACACACACACACACACACACACACACACACACACATACACACATATATATATATATAACACATACACACACCCGCTGCAAGTGTCTGGCGACGTGAATAAATTTTTTTTTTTATGTCTGCTGTATAATTATTACGTGTGATGACGGTAATATATATATATATATATATATATATATATATATATATATGTGTGTGTGTATACACACAACGTCCGGCTAATTAATACGATTTAAAACGTATACTCTTACATAGGAAGTCGTAACAATTTTATTATAATGTACCACACCGTCGCAATATATTTATTTTTAGCTAATGTTTTTATTTGAAAAAATAAAAATAAAAAATGAATAATAATAAATCCGCATATTTCGTTCCGTGACCATATTATATTTTATTTTTGAAAATTCAAAAGTATCTACCATGCATGATAAATCGAGAAATAAATTGGCACTTATGAATGTTGCGCATTTCTGTACTATACCATGTGTGTGTGTAGATGTAACGCAAAAGCTCCAACATTAAACTTATTATTATTTTAAACAGAACACTTTTTGTGGCCATCGTCTATGAACGTGTTATGCGTGCGCGCGTGCACGCTATAATCTATTATAAACTTCGTTGATGATGATTATATAAAAATAAATCAATTTTTACTGACCCTAAAAACTATGTTCAAATTCTCCGTAGTTCCTCTATATTTAAACCGATTGGTATGTATAACCCATCGAATTGTATAATTACGATGTACAGATGCAATCAGTGATGTAATTAGAGGCGCCATTATTACACCGTGCAAGTTGAACATTTTCACCGTATTTAAAATTTTGTTTGACGGTAAATAAGTCTGCGGCTTAAATTGCCTGGACTGCGAGGTCATGTATTGGCCCCCGGACCAAGGTTAATTGTAGACCCCATTACTAACACGTATATTTAAAAAATAAATATTATGCAACTGGTTGAGAATAATGTTACGCACTACCTCAAATTTATAAATTAAAATACCTAAGATAGAAAGTTCAACACTGGCTAGTCGTATATATATTTATTAATTCTGTATATTGGCAGCAAATAACTAAAATCGATAATTATAACAGTCGTATTTAGAAGGAGGTTATTTGTATATAGACATAGACACGAAAAATAATATGATAAAGCTCTTTTGCAAAAAAAAAAAAAATTGCATTCTACAAATCGGGTCAGGAATGAAAAGTGTGATATGCAGGTAATAAAATATTACTACAATGTATTATATTGTAATATAACACTATAAGCCGAGGTCCGGCTAAACTTTATAATCATATTCTTCAAAAATAAACTGATTTCAATTAATGCGACGGTAAAATATTTTGATTTTAGACAACTGTTTCAAATTTAATTAGATGCTTATGATGTGATTTCTGTTCAAGGTACGATAAAAACTAACATAGTACACACTTATCATACACATTCTTATAGATTATTAATGTAGAATTTTAAATTGAACCTTCAGATTATAACAAACCAATAGATACAATATGCAAAAATGAGTTCGTCACTGAACGTATAAGTTACTTTATTAATTTTTAAAATAGACTTCTATCGACATGATTTGTCAAACAACACATATTTATCATAAATTATAATACATTAGCATTTAGTAATTATTAGCAAAAATATTTGCTGTTTGATTTTTCCCACGAAAACATTTAAGCTGCTTATCGTTTGTCATGAAACTTTAAATTCATTAAACCTTATCTAACCTAATCTGTTTTTTATCTTTTCATAGCAAATTAAATAGATGATTTTAATATGGTACTATAACTTAAGTCAGTATAACATTATTATTGTGAGAAAATATTATAGCAAAAAAAAATGCATTTGTTTTTTTTCTTTTAGTTACTTTATTATAAATCGCGGTAGATTTGTTAAACTATTTGAACTATATCTAGTTTAATTTAATTTATCATACTTTATATGAATATATTATTGTAATTATTAAATTTCCAACACTATCATTATAACTAATTTCATAAATAAGTTTTTCTTGATTAATTGTATTAAATACACGGGACTTAATTCATATGTTCATACATCTAATAATATTATACACGTAATTAATGTATAACTTTGTAGTACTATATTACTATATGAAATATTTGAATATATAACTATATAATCAATATATGGTATTCAAATTAACTTATGGCAATTTACTTTTTAAGATGAGTGATAATATTTTATTATTATTTACATGATGAACAGATACGACAATACGAACAATACATTTTGAAAATACAATATAAATACTACCTATTGAGCTCCTAAAATATTTTAATTATACATCTATGGCTTTTATACATTGTGTACGACAGCAAAATTATATACATACTGATTATGTAGTAACGCTACTGTTATAATTTATAATATAACAATATAATGAAATATGAAAACAGTATCAAGTAGCCATTTGTCAATACACAATGCATGTATATGTATTTTGTGTACATCAATCGAGTCAATTTAAATTGCACTTCGAAAAAAATAATTATTATGTTTAGATTACTTAGAATTACAACGCATTATAGTAATATAACTATTTTACAATTTTACATTTTTAACGATAAGATTGTTTTGTGATTATAAATTTTGATCAAACTTGATCAAATTTTAAAAACTCATTTTTATATAAATTTGTAACGTAAGAAAATATACAACATATTTACTAAACTATCGATACGTCACAACATTTACTTTACCTACTAAATCTTCATAAAATCTCTTACAATCGACAACCATCTGGAAAATAAATTCGTTAAACAATATTAAAATTTTTATTTTTAATTTTTTTATTAAGTATAATTATTTCAACAAAATTATTGTATTTACAATGGAGATATTAAAAGTTAAGACATGTAATTTATCTATTTTCTAATCAATTTATCTCGCGAATTCGATTTTTTGCATAGCAACAAAATAATATTCCAATTTACCGCAACACCTGTTATTGTAAAATTATGTCAAGGGGAAGAATATATTATTTCGTTTATTCTGCATACACAGGTAGACGATTTTTCAGTCTCTTAAATTTGAGAAAAGAACAAGGAAACCCGAATAAAGGAGATCCCTCAGAGATTGGTTATTCAATGGTTTATAGTACAGTGCAAGCGTTTACCACTTTGTCGGGTCCATTCCGTTCGGGTTGTGTATGGGAACCTGGTACACAGTATAATAATATGGTTCTCCGAATTCCACCGACATATTATATTGTATATTGTATGTATTATTATTATTATTATTTTTTATTCAAATGTAAATACGTAATCCCGACTATGTTGGTCACCCGGAGGGTAAATACCTTGTGCGGGGGATTTCAAGGACAGCAAGAAAACATTAAAATTATATACATAAAAATCATCTTGTATCTTTACTACCCTCTTGTGCTTAATAAAAATCTCTTTACGGAGATACAGTTTCGAAAATATTTGTGTACCCATAAGACATTTCTAATAACTGCTATAATTTACTAAACCATGTCCAAGTGTTGTATTATTTTAAATGAAAAATATAACTTAGATAATACTGAAAAAACATTAGATATATCTGTTAATTAGTCTTAAAATTAAAATACTCCATCCAATATCAAATATTTTACTAAACTTAAATATGAATATATTTAGTTTAATACTTTTGCCCCTTAGGGTGTTTTTATTTATTAATTTTAACAATAAATAAACTACTACCTATTATTAATTTATTTTATAATCATGTCACAGTTTGATATTCGTTAGAACCATTTCTGATATTTATACATATTACGTTTTTATTATAAATAAATGCCTTTGGGAACTACTCTACTAACTTAAAAATAAAATTAAAAAAATGTCTCGCTTCTTATTTTTAAATATAATACTATTAATATGTTCTAGTAGAGTATGTTTATATATAATGCAATGATAGAAATGTACTAACGTTGTGTTGAGAATTTTTCTAAGGCTATGTGTTTTATCTTAATTATAAAAGATGTCAGTTTTTTCTATGACGTCACAAATATTTTACATTGAAGAAAGTAATTTATTATTAAAATACTATTTTCACATGAGTGAGTACCTAATAACGGATTTTTTTTTTTATGACAAAGAAACTAAAACATAACGAACGCGCAAGTTGTTTATTTCGAATAAGTAATATATTATCATAACCAAAATCATATAGTTATTCCATAATCGTGTGCTACTAAAAAAAAAAATAATAATAATATTTTATTTTAAAACTTAAAACATTCAATATGTATTATTTAAAAATATAATAATTAAACAACATTTCAATGCTCAGAAGGCTAAAGTTCTAAAATACGTGGTTAATTTATTAATTATTACTTTTAATCCGTTCAAAATATAGGTACTAGGTGTGAATGCAAGGTAGGGTATTAGGGGTTAAACCTCCCCTCATAATATCAGAAAAAAGTGTTTTAAAAAAATGACCGGACCAGTAAATTTAATAGTTATTTCAAAATTTGTTATGGTACGTGCAAATAAATTATATAAATAAATAAATAAATAATAAAAAATATATATATTATATAATGTGTAATAAAACATACTATTTATCAACATTGTACATTTTATATTTTTTCAACCCCCCCCCCCTGAATTTTTTTCATGTGTTTTCTCCTGATAGGTATTATATATACAGTTAACTTACCTTATCATGGTGATTTAAAACATTAAATAATTAATCTAAGTATTATGTCTTTATTACTAAGTTTAATTTTTAATAACTTATCAGTGATAAGATATTAAACTCTCGAGAGGCGAAATTTCAAAATTTACGTTGTAAAAAAATGTGTTTCTCCAGAAAGAGCAATTTTTTTCCTCCACTATAATTTCACATAGTGATAATCTTTGATTAGAAAGGTTAATATATTATATTATATTTTATATTCATATATTATTGATCAAATTATCAATTTAATAATTTAAACTTTTTATTTTTAAGTTTTAAATAGGAAATCCTAGATTTTCTTAGCTATATTATTATTGGCAATAACATAATTATAGTGTATGAAACAAAATAAATTAATATTTTGATAAATAATTAAGTTTACTGATAGGTACCTTAGTGATGAATAATGATTCATTTAGATAATTATTAAATCGATATGATATTTTTTGGAACATTGGTCCATTCAATTTCAACTGTAATAAATGAATTTGAAATAACCTACTGTAATTATGTATTTTAATTTTACTTTTATTTTAAATACAGATATTGCAAGTACATAATTTATTAAACATGTAATAATTGTTCATGAATTCCCAAATAACCATGACTAATATCGAATCGATAAAATACATTCAATAATTATTTATTACATTTATTGATAGTAACTATCCCTACTACTCATACTCTACCTACTCGACCCGATCCACAGTTGTTATTGAACATTAATGTAAACTATATCGCATCAAATTTTCGTTCTGATCTTGCATCAACCGAGTTCCTGTAATTTGTTTCATAAGAAATGACGTACAGCACTATGTGCATCTTAGTAAAAGTACCTTTAGGAATGTAACTCATCGTTTCGAGTGCCCAGCAATCATTACGTGAACATTTTAAACAACTGTTTATACTTAGTTCATGGTTTGTTTTATTTTAAGATCCCAGCACAGAATGTATTTAACTATTCTGTAATAATCACATGTCGCATTAGCCGTCGAATGTCATCTGTAATTAAATAGATATTGTTTTTTTTTTTTTTTAAATAATACATCGATAAGGTTACGAACAAAACGCATAATGTCATTGAATATTGTAAATCGTCATGGTAAGTGAAGTGAAGTGTCACATAGGTAGTAAAGCGTATAAATAATATAAAATCATTTATTTTAATATTTTTTTTTCTTATTCATCACTACCTCCCCCCCCATTAATTACCAGTTGTACATATATTTACCGATTTCAGCAAAAATTAATGTTAGGTATACTTCGTCGATTTGTTCTTATGGCACAATTACATGACAAGGCGTGTAGAATACATACGTGTCGATACCACCGTTGTTGTTGTTGTTTTACAGAACGATATAAATATATGGTAAGCCAGTATGTTAAAAAGCGCCGAGAGGGTTTGGTATACGAATGTGGTATACACTCATTCGCACGCGCACACACGCGCGCTGAAGGTACACAAAGTCGCAGCTCGATGTTCCGCTTTCGCAACCTCTAGTAATAAATAAATTACAATTAAAAACAATAATAATTAACGTTTCGCTATCGTTGAGATGATAATACTTTTTCGAAAAATAATACAGTACGTAGCGTTCGCCTTGCCCTGTTTACCGACGAAATTATAGCATGTGATCGTTTGTGACGGTTTGTCCCGATAACGCGTGTGTCCACTACACGTGTCTAATACTGTCCGAGTGTACGTTACAATACCAAGTACGTTCGCTCATTTTCTTCGCGGTAAAAACATCTATATTATTAAATTATTTATTATACGCGTATTTATATTATTTTGTTGTCCTTGAACAACTAGTACGAATCACCATTGGGTGTTCAATACGAAACAGGTAACTCCTCCTCGATGTTCTAATGGTACCTCGTCGAAACGATAAATATTTTTGACTTTCACATGTAAACAAACGTTTTATGCAATGCCTTTACCGACGACGTTATTAATAAAGCGTCAACTGGCAAATATTGTTGATGCAGTAGCTTCATTGTTATGATTTTAAATCATTTTACTAGAATTCCTTGAAAACTGATTTATAGTGTTATTATTACATTTTTTTTAATTATTATCTATTTTTAACGTTCTTAAATTATGTATATTATTATAATGGTGAACGATTGATGACAACATTTGATTATTTTCAATTACAAAGTAACATATATTCATCGAACCGATTGAAAAAGAACAAACGGAAACTATAATTTAACCCTGATCATTTACTAGTTATCTATTTGACTATATACTGGAACATATATTATACATTTCGTATTTCTTATTAATGTCATTCGGTAAATTATTTTAACACTATGGTGAATAAGCTACTGAATCGAAAATCTATATCTATATCTATTTTCGGAAATAATAATGAAGTATGCTTTATAACACACGGAAAATATTCATGCAATTACACTGGTCATGCTGTTTAACTTTATTTCAATTTTCTTCAGAGTAAATTGTTTGAATTCGTCAAATTATACTAGTATATTATATATATATTTCATAGTAAAAAACGCCTTTTTTTTTGTGTAACAATTGGTACCTTTAAAAAGTCATAGGACTTTGTAAATTTAATAACGTTTGAAATTCTTTATAATCACATGTTTGATTGACATTTTGCTAATTGCATTGAGTAATCTAATAATAATTGATAGATACATAGAGTGTTGATTCGTATTTCGCTTATAATTATGTACATGCCATTGTAATTACAACTTTCATTCCATAATGACCTATTATAACAATCAAATATTAGATTAAAAATAATAGTATAATTTCTTAAATTGTAAATAAAAAATAAATGGGTCACTCTATACGAGCGTCAAAACTATATTGTTGTCTACGACGATTAATTTAATTGTAATGAGTCGCGATTATTGAAAACTATGAAAACATTAAACTGCGTGAACAAAATCAAGTACGGGGATAACCACGACGGACGTTATTATTAGTATAATAATAATAATATTTTATGCACGACGATGCGCGCACAATACAACAACGACATGGCTTTTAATGTTTTTGTAATCGTGTTGGCGGACCAATGATTATTAAGATATACGATTCATTCAAGTCTGTTTAAGTTTCGCAGACCGGTTGTATAATATTTGCAATCAAAACTATTAGTATTGTTCGTATTGTCCGTCCGCTGTCCGCAGACCTAATCCGGCATAGCGTACGCAACGTTATTGTACAATATTTTCTTTTCCTGATACATCTTCGTTAGCGTTTAAAGTTATTCATATGCTCTCTCATTTTTTAATTCATCAACTCTTTCGTGCACAAAGTTGGTACAACGAGAGAGATTATGGTAAATAATGGAGCGGTGTGTGCATATGTGTACCATAACCGTGTCCTACTGACCGTTATTTTCTGAAAGCTACCGTATCCACTCCCGGTCGGTTGCGACTCATGACACATGACCTATTGTCAATCTTATGGAATACATACCATCAATATGAACGAGATGGTTTTGCACGAATGGACTAAATCATTTTAAAGAATCGGATTTCGTTAGAGTAACGAGTATACGCTAACCATAGGTACTATGCATGCAGTCTATAATTTATTGTGTCGGATATATAATATATTATATATATTGATATATATATATAATATTATTATATCTGTACTTCAGTAAATTCGTGTTCAGTATAATGATTGTCTTCGATATAAAAACAAAAACTTGAGCGAAAAACGTCTAAGCTCTGATAATATAAGACGTATGCAAGTAATGTGTATACGTAAGTATCTCGTTTTTAGACGGACTGCGACATTTTTAATCGGGCCTAATAATCTATAACGCGCGTCTATATCGACAATATAGAACAACACGAATTGCTTAATTTAAAATATTCCTGTGTAACTACATTTCAAAGCGGAGTTTCAGCATAGTTACTGACGATTTTCATTTTTTATTGTTTAAGATATTATTATAATTAACTTATGTATACACTTTTGCAGTGTAGTATGTAATACATAGTTGACGTTTGTGAAGATGTATATGGGACACCTATTATTGAATCGTGTAACACAATGCATTTTAAAGTTTTTAACTTCCCTGAAATAGTCGAAGAAAATATAATAATATAGGTAAATTAAAGACAATAAATATTAAATTAACCATACGTTGTAATCTGATGATTATATAGATCTGAGTTGTAAGTGCTTCTACACGTTTTGTAAACCTTGAATATTCCTTGTGCATTAGGTTACATGTTTATTTCTTAATATTAAACATTGCAACCAGAATATATTTCTCGGACGGCCATCAAAATTCACAATGAATAAAAACATTTAAAATCGATCGACAAATTTCATATTGTGTTACAAAATAATCCGAGTCGTTTGAAACAATTTTCAAGACATTATAACAGTTTTTTAATTTCATATTCCAAGGTGGATAGAAAAGTTTGATTGATGAAATATCTTATTCGCAATGCTTTGAAATGTATACAATTTATACGTGATAGATGTTTTATCATCTGCAAATTTTTTTTTTTTTCATTTTTGTTTACTCTTGAATGTTTACAAATCGTAACACAGTAATTTTATTTTAGACCTTGAAACTATTTCCATGGTTATAATTTTATAAACATTTGTTTACAGTGAATAAACATTTATTATTTGATGTTATTTCAAAAATATAAATTTATTTTTGAAATGCATTTATTAATATATAACTCGGTAAGTTATACTCGTAAATTATTGGAAAAAGCTCATCCATTTTTTCCTTAGTATCTATATTATGTATTATTTTGAGTTCATTTTCATAATTTGTAGTTCTGTGGAATCAAAATTAAAGATACTTAATGAAACTTAAGGCTTAGTATAATTAGTGATTAGATTCTAAAATATAAGTGTTGGGTTCTATCATTGGTTGGCTTCTCTTATCATATTATTCATAGTTAAAATGAATATAAATTATCGTAATTGTTTATTGTGTTATTCTAACATAGATTGTAAATATTCTTTATAATTAATATGAATTTATAAATTATAATTAAAAATAAATTTATATATAAATAGGTACTTGATAATATAATTATACTTGTACATATTTAAAAAATTTTAAAATAGTTTAACCCGACAACTGGTATTCCAGTACATAGATTGTACGATGTTAAATCAATTTTTTTTATTTTATTTTTTTTTTTTAATACAATATATACAATAAAAACATTATTTTTGAAAATTTCACCAAAAATAACAATAAATGATAGTGATAAAATGAACAAAAACCTATTATATTTAATATTTTCCGGAATACCTCTAATGGCTAGTTAATTACTTTCAATTAAAAACGAATAAAAACGGTAAACGCGCCTTACAAAATATCTATTAAAATATACATTATAATTCGTTAATTATCTTCAAACATTTAAATCATAAGAATGGGCTTAATCCCACAGTCCATAAAACGATAGCCATTGGAATTAGGTCAGCATAATAAAAAAAATCGCTAGTAAGTTCTTTTTAATTTATAACAAGTCTGCGTCAAAGATGAGTCTCATGCAAAGTGTGATTAATTAACTACGAATGCATCGAGCTGAACACACTGCTAAAATGGTAATACAGTAACCTGTTGTGGTACTTGATTAAAACGAATTCCTACGTATTTGTTTTTCGTTGAAATGCCTGTAATGTAAAAACAGAATTAAATAAATAAAAAAAAAATTAAAATATTAAAATACAAAAGAAGTTAATAAAATTGTTTATTGTAACCTACGCATTAACCGCAATGCAAACGGGGGTTCAACTGAATGAGTATTGTTTTGCACCTCAATAGTGCAGCGGTACACGCATTGCATATGACAAAGAGCTAATCAAACGGATGTGACATTAATTTAAATCGTCTGGGAGATTTGCATTTGCAAACAAGTAACTAAACATCGCAATAGAATTGTAATTAATCAAATACTTTATAGTTTCGCACATCCGTTTGACTCGACATAACAATAATACCATTTAATCGGACGAATAAAATAATTATCAACGGGTACGTGTTATGTTGTTGTATAGGTGTAATATGATAGCGTCTGCAGTCTAAATAAAACTAAACATACTTACAATTACAGTTTATCAATGCACTTTATCTGTACCCGTTAATCGATAACGGATTAATTTCCAATAGGTCTCGAGAGCATCGAACAGGTGTTATTATTTTTCATGATTAGGTTCATTAATTATCTGTTGGACCATGGATATCCACGCTTTGTACGTATATATGCGTATTTACATTTATAATATTTACATGAATGGCCTGCTGAGGGAACGTAACCGGGATAACGCACACGGTTATATTAATTAGGTATACACTTATTAGGAATTTTAAACACAAGAAAGGCAGATCAGTGTGCTTTCGTGTTTCGTAACATAGTATGCAAATTGTTGGTTGAAAATTTGAATAGGTATTTTTAGTATGTTGTTTCATAATAATTGGTATTTTTGTACCTTCTCTCGGGGCAGTTAATGATAATAATAATAATATCAATAGCAAAAAACAACACGATTACGTCTGTACGGTTATTCTCGACGTTTAATTAACCTATACTTATGTATCTATTACGCACCTCCTCGTATTTGGAAAACAAATGCGACAAACGTTATTAAATATACTACATTACGTCAAGTATTATTACGGTTATATCATTGTGTACGATTATAACATTGATTTGCTGTACACAATAAAGATCAGTTCGCGGTGACGGACTTTATCACAAAAAATA